ATATTTTGCTACTAAAATGTGACTTTAACTCAACTTCATTTATGATTATTTCATTAATTTTCAAGCTTAATTTTAGAATAAATCTTTTTTCCAACAACATTCAGTATTTTGATACTCTTTCGTTTAAAAGATAGAGCTATCATACTTTACTATTTCTTTCCCATAAGAAAAATGACTGTAATTTCCAAATAAAAATAACTAATAGCTTATTTTTATTTATTTTTATTTGTTATATATTTGTCTTAATTTTAACAAAAAATATGAGAAAGATATTTTTAATTTAACTCCAAAACTTTATATGTTTGAAAAGAATATCAGTTACAATAAAAAAAAAATTATAAAATAATTTGTTTGTAGTTGAATGCTTTCATTCTACATGAGTGAAAAAAGGCTTTATTTTGATGAAGAAAGCAGTAAAGGACTTTTTCTTCAGTGAAGTACTGTTTACGACTCATATAGTCGTGATCTAATTCGCAATACCTTTTAAGACTTTTTACCTTACGTTTCAAAATACTTGAGTAGATATACCATTAATAGTTACAACAAAAATTTCAAATGATAATTATTAGTTTCCAAATTAAATCAATAACTTCTGCATAATTAGTTATATAAATAATATATTCGTGTGTGTGTATTTCGCAGATCTGACTTTTTTTTCTATGTTCGTATTGAAATAACATCTTGCATATATATGAACTATAATTTTTTTCTGTAGATCTTCGTCGAACTTTAATGCTGATCATAAACTAGAGCATATGAAATACTTAGCATTTAATGTTAAAATATTGATTTAGATTATGAATTTCAAATAAATAATATTTGATATGATGTAAGTCATTTAAAATAATATATTGAATATGCTGTTACTAACTTCAGCTATGAATTTCCAATTGCATATAAGATTTATCAAAAATCGTAAAATTAACAAAATGGGAAAAACCATAATTTGAAAAATTTTGTAGTTAAAATTATATGAAAGTTTCTTATCTAGGTCATTATTACTCGAAATTTTTTTTCCTGCTACTTCGAAACTTAATTCGTGTTTTCGTTTCACTGAAGCATATCTAACTAAACTTGAAAAGAATTTAAGCCAAACTAGTTCTCCTCTGAAGAAGCTAAAAGTGATCAAGCACACAGTGAATTATCAAGAAATAAAACATTTCAAAAAATCTTTTAAAGTGTAATTTTTTCCAGTCACGTTTTTGAACCGATTTCTATTCGTTTATGGTTAGAGAGTTGTTTATATGGTTTCATATAAATGACTCTTTCCTTGAGAAAAATAGCATCTGTCATATTTTCCTATTCGAAACAGTTAACATCGAAGCAGTAAAAAAAATACTATAACTGACAAAAAGAGAAGCTAAATGTTCTTTCTTGATTCTGCTCTGTTATACGCTTCGCATTTCATTGAATCCTTAATGAAAATAAATTTCTGTGCCTTCTAATTCTGAGAATACAGCTCAGATATCTGTCTGATTTCCCTGCAAGAAATAAAACAAACGTTATTTATTTATAATTACCGTATTTATTCTAATCTAAGTCGCCATAGATTCTAAGCCGCATTTCAAATTCCCAACTCTGTCTTGTGAAAAAATAAAAAATAGCGTAAAGTAATTTATCGATATCCTTTATTTACGAAATTAAAATTAGAACTAATAAAAAGGGAAGATTTAATATATTTTACAGGTATTAAAACTTTTAAAAATAAATACATCAACCTGTAATTACTCAAACCGTCAGAATAATATTCGATTTCCCCATCCAACGAATTTTTCCCATTCGATTCTAAGCCGCACCCAATTTTCAATTGCATTAACATTGGAAAAATAATGCGGCTTGTAGTAGATTAAATGTGAAATAGATAGATGGCGGTGCAAGTCATCTGAGAGTTATACTTTTTTGGCTTGTTGAATCAGTTATGTAACGTTCTTTGTGCTATATACATGTCTTCTGTGTGCATCGTCTAATAAATCAAAATGTCTAAAAGGATGGACTGAATCATTGGAATAACATAAAAAAACAATGAATATAAACACCTAAATGACCCATGGAATTAAGGATTTAGGAAATATAACACGGCTTAAATTCGAATAAATACGGTAAGTAAAACTCATATAAAGAGGTGTTATGTTATAAAATGTATTTTCTCTTTCAACAGCGGTACCAACCAGCTGCTCAACAACGAAGACCAGTCTACACCGTCCCTGAATCCTACAGTTATATGCCTTATTCCTTCAACTACGTTGCCAATGGTGAAGATGGCTCCAGCTCTAGGCAAGAAACCGGAGATGCATCTGGTCGAGTTGTTGGCTCATACACTATCGCTGTCGAAGATGGTCGTCGACGAGTTGTCGATTACGTAGCTGACCAAAATGGTTTCCGAGCAACTATCGACACCAACGAACCAGGTACTGATGTCCAAAACCCCGCCGATGTGGTCTTCCACTCTGCTGGTTTGGATAGCAGGACCCAACAATCAGCATACAGACCCGCCAACGCTTTCAGACCAAGACCAAGTCGCTTGTACACCCAGCCAGCCGCCTACAACCCAGTAGTATACCGTGGTGATGCCCATGCACCTTACACTCACTATGGCGGTCACCTCAATGACCCACACAGGCATTCTGGACATGCTTACGCTTCTTACTACAACAATGACCATGGATACTACTGGCACTAAATCAATGCTTAAGATTGTTTTGAGACCAAGAATGTGCATATGGAAAGCTTGACGTGTTTGTTTATTTATGTCTGTATTTTGGGGTTTGGATTTTCTTCAATAAAAGTAAATGTGATGATAATTTTGTGTGAATTTCAGTTTATATTTTCCCTGCATTATTCTAAAAATATTTATGTTCGATCTTCGGTATTATTTTCTGTATAGAAAAGATTAAGTAAGTTTTAATACCCTCTGATTTTAATTACGAATAATTTAAATTTTGAATTGTTGATAGATGTATTATTCAATCAAAATTCTTAAATTTTCATTATAAAATAATCAAAGGCTAGAGTATTTGCTTCAAATCTCATATGATCATCGAGTTTTTTTTTAAAAACTATATTGTAGCATAGGGGCTCAAACTCGCAGCATGGCCAATATAACGGCACACAGTAATATAAAATAAAATAAAAAATAATTCTCCCGAAATATAGGAAAGATATTAGCAGAGGAGAGATGTCAAGTGTCAAAACGCAAATATTAAATTTTTCTTGTTCTTTTACATATGTTTCTTACAATGTATTATTACAAATAAACCTATGTTTCTATGAAAATATAATTTTTTTGCGACCCACCTAAAGTTAAAGATTTTATTTGCTTAGCCCAAGTTAGCCTTTGACTTTGACACCCTTGCTGTAACATGAAAAATAGTATAAAAACTAGCCATTTTCTTTCTTTCTTTTCTTTTTTTTTTTTTGGAAAAAGAAAAAAAATGTTATATATAAATAAGGAAATTAATATTACCGTTTTTCCGGTGCATGGCGCAGACTTTTAACATAAAATATTAGTTCGAAATTTATGGGTACGCTTTATTTGCCGGATATAAAAAGGATAACTTTTTAAAACTAAAGAGAAGATGAACACATAAAAATTAGATTTTTGCGCATATCTAAATACTGTTTATTTAATGAAAAAAACATACCTTTTGAACTTTCATTATTGGATATGAAACCTTCGTCATATTTGTCCCCCGTTACATCTTCAGACACATCAGCGAATTCCATTTCATCTTCATCCTCACAGTTACTCTGATCCGTACACTAATACTCATCTTCCGTTCCATCTACATTGTAAGATATACAACATTTTTAAGTGACTTATGCTTATGTAAGGTTTAATTTCTCATTCCATGCTTTTATTATTAACTATTTTTAGACTGGCATGTCTCATTTCGCCTCATTTTGTAAAAGAATTTTCACCTTCTTAACATCCACATCCTTCTAAATCCTCTTTTCTTACCTTTTAGATTTTTCGTTCTAGAAGTATACCGCGGTCCAAAAGCCTGGAATAATACCTCGAATAAATGATTTCAAAAGATGAGAGCACTGCTGACGAACATTTCAGGTTTCTTCGTAAAAAAAGGGATGCACGTTATACAGAGAATTACCTAAGAATTAGCAAGTAATATATAAAAATAAAATTGAGACAATTCCTGCTTAGGTCAACTAAGAAAAGTTTAATTTTAGTTACTTTTTATTAAATAATTACAATTAATATAAATATGTATATACATATGAGACAGAATCAAAAAATGTGAAAGTGGCAAACTAGAAAGCGATTTTCCATTTTACTTTCTAGTTGGGTTTCTTTCTTTTATAGGGTGTTGGACTATTAATTGTGTTTGTTACTATTTATTCATTAATTAAATTTAGTTATTCCAATAAAATAGTATAGTAAAAATAAATCACATTCTCAGAAATTAAGCTACACCAGGTGGGATTCGAACCCACGATCTTTGGATTAAAAGTCTAACGAGCTATCCATTGCGCTACAGGGATACAACGAGCGGTTTTCCTTCTTATGTATGGTGGTGGACTATTATTTTTGTTTGATACTTTTTATTCATTAATTAAATAGAATTAATGAATGAATATTTAAAAAAACTGTAGTAACATCAAATGTCATCCACTACAAGTTTAAAAAAAATGTTTTTTGAACTTGAAAGGATAAATAGAAAGTATTTTATTGACGATTGAAGATTTGAGCAAGATATATACTCTCTGTGGGAACTCTTTGCGGGCTGCATGAGTCCAGAGAGCTGTTTTTTGAAATAAGAAATGATATATATCGTTTATATATAATAAGAATAATATACATTGTTTATATGTAATAAGAATAGTATACATCATTAATATATCGTACAGTATATATCGTTTGTTATAAGAAATAATATACATCAAATCATTGTCATTAGATCGTATGGGAAGAATAAACTTAATTAAATTTAGTTATCCCAATAAAATAGTATAGTAAAAATAAATCACATTCTCAGAAATTAGGCCATCTCAGGTGGGATCCGAACCTTTGGATTAGAAGCCCAACGCACTATCAATTGCGCTACAGGGATACAACGAATGATTTTCCTTTTTATATATGGTGTTGGACTATTATTTTTGTTCGTTACTATTTATTCATTAATTAAGCTTAATTAATGAATTAATATTTGAAAAAACTGTATTAACATCAAGTGTAACTGCAAGTTTTAATTATATATATGTAAAGAGTGCGAATTAATAGCAGGAATTGAAAAAAGTATATCCTTCCCTTTCATTCAGATAGAAAAAGAATCAATTGGAAATATCCTTAAGGTATCCGACTACGTTCGGAACCATGATTTTTCAAAAGCGTATAAATGAATACTATTTATGATATTTAGTGTCACTTAGATTAGAAAATATATGTAAAATAGTTTTAAGAATAGTATAACAATAAAAAATTATTTAAGTGCAATATTTTGACAAAAAATGGACATAGAAGGACCCATTTTCAAAATATTCTCCTTTTGTGAAAAATGCTTCTATTAAAATAATATTTTGCCTGCATATAGCTCAGACCTCTGTACAGAGGCTCAACTAGAATTTTTGAAATATATAACCTAGAAGTGGGTTTATCCATGTTTTACGACAACAGGGGGGAGAAATTTTAAGGAAAAAACACCGATAAATTATTTCAATTCCTTGTAACTTTGAAAATAATGAATTTTTCAAAATTCATAGGTCAGACTCTCTGGAGAAGTCTTTACTTTTTATCAGCAAAATATTATTACTTTAGAAGTATTTTTTATAAAAGGAGAACATTTTGAAAAAAGGTTATTCTAAGTTAATTTTTTGCCGAAATATTGTATTTAAATAATTTTTTTTTTATCAAAATGTCCTTAAAACAATTTTATACATGTATTCTAATCTAAGTGACACTAAATATTATGAAAATTATCCATTTATGAGCTTTTTTAAAATCACGGTTTCAAACATAGTCGGATACCTTAAATGATCATTATGTTTAGTTTTCAATAAAATAAGTGTTTATCCATTATTTTATTCTAGAAACAAAAATCAGGCAAAATAATGAAATGACTGTTTGTAAATAACCATATTCCTACAATAAAGCTTTCGAAAATATTTCGAAAAGGATGTACATCTTTGAGCTAAAAGAGGTACGCAAGCTTAACTATTGAAGGTCACCAGTAGAATTTAAAAAAAAACTCACTGAAGCATGTGAAATCTTATAACGTATCTTTTTCACGTAAAGTTAATTAGAAAATTTATTAGACTTTATTTAAATACAACCTTGAGCCAATTTACAATTAAAAATACAAAAAAATCTCAATTACATTTCCAAATCCGATTTGATTATTTTTCTAATTGAGATATTTACTTTTAGATCACATCCTATTGTAATATTTTATCCTATCTAATGAACAATTAACAATTTAGCTTCAGAAATCATATCTAATCACTTAACAATACACACTTCACGACATACATCTGAAATACCTGAATCAAATCTCGGTATTTATTATCTTAGAGCTAACTATTCTACAATCAACCTAAAAGCCTTGGTAACCGAGTAGTCAAGGTCATAAATTCGTGACCAGTCCTGCATCTTTCACGTATTGAGATAGAGTTCTGGGGCCCCTAAAGACCCGTCGTGTAGAAACGCTACTGCACTCCTTAAGGAGTAAATTTTTTTGCCCAAAACGTTTAAAGAAAATGCATATCTTTTATTGCCAATAACTAAGCATTATACTTAACAGATACTTATTTTCTTCTTTCTATCTTTGATTTCACGTGTTTTTAATTCTTATAGTGACATTATTGGTACTATTGTTTTTAATATATGCACAGTTTGCGTCCGTGGTACTGAAATACTTCTTATCTGGAAATTTTTTTGTGATGAAGGCGGGAATTTTTTATTGAACAGGAATTTAGAGTCTTGAGAATATTCGATAAGGAACAGGAATTTTTAAGACAATGTGTAACTTGTTGCTTCAGAAGAAATGAAAAGGGAGATATTCCAAAAGGCCGATATTATCTCTGTCCCACATTGCAATGTAAGACTTAGTATTACACCATGCTTCTAACGGTGTGTGCAAATAATATGTACATCCTCACAAAATTCTCAACCTTTCGAAAAAGAGGTGCGAACTTGAAATTGTTTATAAGTGCGAGAAATTCTTTTAAGATATATGAAACATTTTTCATAACATGCAAAAATGGAAGAATTTTAGCTTAATTTTCCATTTTAAAGTTTTTGCACTATTTTTTCTTTTATAATTTTGGAACACAAAAAACCCCAAATGTTTGCTTTTTATAAGCACACTCTACATGCTATGAAGAAGGTTTCATGTATCTTAAAAGAATTTTTCTCATATTTACAAAACATTTCAAGTTCGCATTTCTTTTTCAAATGATTGAGGATTTTGTGAGGATGTGCATATTATATGCACATACAGTGTGAAGCATGGTGTAATACTAAGTCTTACATTGCAACGGTGACAGAGATAATATTGGCTTTTTTGGAATATCTTACCTTTTACATTTCTTCTCAAGTAACAAGTTGCACATTGTCTTAACAATCCCTGTTCCTTATCGAATATTTTCAATAATATAAATACCTGTGTTCAATGAAAAGTTCCCGCCTTCACCACAAAGAAAATCTCGAATGAGAAGTATTTCAGTACAATGGACAGACTGCGTCTCTTAAAAACACTAGCACTAATAATGTCACTATAATAATTAAATCCATGCGTAATCAATGATAGAAAGAAGAAAATTTCAGTGTCCATACAGCGTAAAAGGGCAAACCGATTGTGGGCAGCATTCGGTAGCCCATACGGTGTACGCTTAAGCCAGTTAAGGGGTTAAATCTGTAGAATATCAATGTCCTCTCGTTGGCATAATGCAGAAGTTTGGAAAATTGAATGCCAGATAAGTTGTAGCCTTCTCCAATTGACTGAGTTTCAAAATGATGAAGTATATCACCAGTAGCTTTCGTATTGCATCAGAATGTGACATTAATAAACTTTCAATCATTTAATCTATACATATAAATAAAATGAAGTTTTGCCTTGTTTGTAATTTGAAATTAACAGCTTTTACTAAATACATTTAAAGTATATAAGGTAATCACTTATATGAAAAATCAATTTTAAAATTTTTGTCTGTCTATCTATTTGTCTGTCTGTTTGTTCCGATAATCTCTGAAAACGGCTGACCAATTTTGACGAAACTTCACTGGCAGATAGCTAATGTTATAAGGAATAATTTAGCTACTTTGAGTAATAGAAAAAATTAGGGTTCTGCGAAAATAAAATTTCCAAAACCACCAGAAATGGTGAACAATATCCGTTTCCAAATAGGGATCATTTATTTCCAATCGATGCGTCACAGGTCATGCATCCCTCTCACCCCTTATGCTTGCAGCGGCTTCCTTTCTCATCCGACCTCACCCCATCGACAGTGTCAAAGGTCACGCGTCCCTCTTGCAGATTCATATTTCAATCTCTACTGTTTTTAGGACCTGGTTTGATCTGACTATTGTATATAGAGAGAGAAGTTCAGTAAATTTAATATTGCATATATAGAGAGATTGTTCAGTAAATTTAATATTGTATATAGAGAGATTGTTCAATAAATTCAATACTGTATATAGAGATTTAATATTAACGTATTACACATTACGCGCGGGCGTTATAAATTTTTTAAAAAAATTCTTTTTTATCAGCTGTTATACCTACAGACTTAAAATTAAGCAAATATGGTTTTTTATTTAGCTGAGATATGCAAAAAGCTTCTTTTTGTTTAATCTATAATTCCAGTAAAATTAACTCATTAAAAACTCCTTTATCCTTCAGTCTGTATTGTTTAATTTGTCAATTCACCCGTGCGAAGAACGGGTATACCAGCTAGTTTATAAATAAATCTAAAAATAAAAAATGATAAGTTCGTATGGGAAAAATTGCTAAAGTCGTTCAAACCAAAAGTTACTTAATTTTCATAGTTCTTGTTCGTGAAATTTCTTTCTTTTTTTAGCATGCTTTTATTAGCTTCACCCATATGTACTTGAATCTTGAAATTGACTTTTTACCCACTTTTGCAGGTTTGTCAGGGATCGATGACAATGCAATAATCTAATAATTTTGTCCCATTGTCCTGATCAGGATTAACGATCTTCCATTTCTACATTTGTTGACTAAATATTAAGTTACAACCCTGAGGCGAAAAGGTTCACGTTTAACATAAATACAACAAATAAAAAAGATTAATTCATATCAATGAATAAATGATAGTTTTAAAACTAAAAAAAAAAAAAAAACATGCTCTCAAAATAAATTATAGTTTAAAAAAATTAAAGAACACACTTTTACAGTTAATTGAACTAAAACGTAAAAAATAATTCTTAATATAAGAATAAAATGATTAAAACGAAAAAATTAATGTCATTGTGTAAAAGAGAAGGGTGCTTTGTAGTACATTTTTACACTAACTTTTCGTTTCGGAGTAGAACTTGTAAGATTATATAACAATTGATATCGAGCACCCTACGCTTTTACCACAATGGCATTAATTTTCTCGTTAATCATTTTATTCTTATATTAAGAATTTCTTTTTTTTACTTTTTAGTTTTATTACCTTTAAAAACGTGTATTTTAGTTTTTTTTAAACTATAATTTATTTTCCTAAAATCTTAATAAATTTTTTCTTAGAGTACTGGAATGGTAGTTTTCTTTAAATACCAGCCTTATAGCTTCAAGCTCTTATTGGGTCAGCTCAACTTCTTAAGGGTGGAAATCAAATAGATTCAAGTTACTATTCAGATCTCCTGCCAAAATAGTTTTCGGATATCTCTCCTTAACTCATCTGTTTTTGCCTAAAACATAAAAAAGTTATATAAAAGAAAATTATACTTACAAAGAAGAAATTTTGCCTCGTTAAATGTTAACAAATTTAAGTAATATATCTTTATGATCTTTTGAAAATGTTCACAAAAAAGGTGAAGTTTGTTTCTCATTTCTGAGTGTTATCTATGTTTAAATATATATTACCCGGCATTATTTTGTTGTCTTTT